TGGCTTCTGCCTGAGCCCTGCCCGAGCGGCACCGCGAGCCAGCTACAGAGAGCCTTCACACCTAAACATGCAAGTCTTGGGCTTAAAACTATGTGACATGCTATTTGTATGCAAATAACTCTGTGAATGCAGCAGTCCAAAAATATCATTTTAAAGTCAACTGTAATTAAGTTTGCAATGCGTTTCCCTGCTCTTGCAGCCCTGGGGATCCCGCCGTTAACGCAAAGATGAATGCCTGGGTGACATTTCTCCCCCTTGCATGGTTTCACTGGTGATTTATTTATCTATTCGGGTTGTGTTTTGTTGTCTCAGCAGTCTCTGTTGTTCAGGAGCAGCAAACACTGGGAGTCCATTTAAAAAAAAAACCAACTCTTGTCTCATTTCAGTAATTTCCTATGCAGAGATTTTGTGTTTTTCATAATGGATTAGAACCTGTAATTTCATTTTTTGAATACATGGACCTAATAGCTCACGTAATGAAAGTCTAATAAGCCTGAAGATGAGCCATTAATGAAACAGCAGTTTTACGATTCTCTGCCAATATATTGTAATAGTGAATCACTTATAAAGCTGTCCCGTGCTGATTTATGATGAAACTTGTTTGTGATACAGAGATACAGCCGTGGTGCCTGCCGCTAAATTAGCATTTCCTGACACTCATTAAACAATGGGAATCGTAATCGGGATTTATGGGGTTTGAAGCGGAGCAGTGGGAAAGGCCAATTAAGCCACGTCTGTGCTCAGGTACCTCTGTAAAACAGCCCTGTTAATTTATGCTAACGAATTAGTTTGTTCTCTTTCGAATGAGGAAACTGGTCAAGAGCACAGGGGGGTGCGCGGGCTGGCTGCCGTGCTGCCCCAGGACAGGCAGCCCCTGTCCCTTCGCACAGCCCCCAGCCCCTCGCTGAGGGGGCAGCGGGGCGGCAGCTCTGGGGCCACGTGCGGCGCGGGAACCCTGTCCCTGTGCCAGCACCTGGGGGAGCGAGAACGGCCTCGGCCGTCATCTCCTGTAGCTCCCCGGCAGCCTGGCACAGATCTCTGGGCATATCTCTTTAGTATCTCTCTACGGGTCTCTTCCAGCTGCTCATCCAGTCCCCCTGGACTCCAGTACCCCTGGACCACGGTCTCCTCTTGTCCCCACGTCACCTTCACAGGGAGTGTCCCGGATCCACCGGGGACCCACTGCCCTCGGTGCATGCTGCTGCCCCCCCCCGCGATGCCCTGGGTCTTCCACTGCAGTCCCCTTGTCATGCAGGCTGTTGTGGGCTGTGGTTGTATCTCCTCCCAGTTAGGCCTTTCATCAGGTTTCTCTCTACAGAGCAAGCCCCAAAGCTGGTGGCTGTGGACCGTGCGTTAGGGACCCTGCAATGACTGGTGGTTTCCCTGGAGGTGTCTGGTTTTGGTCACCGGACTGATGCAGCTCTTGGAAACACCCATGCTGATCACGCCAGCGAGGCAGCATGGCCATGGTGGCTGTGCAGGGTTTATCCCATGAATAAATCAGTGCCTTGCTTTCTCCAGCTGAATTGCTGCAGCCAGGGTTGCTGATGTTTGCTTTCCCTGACTGCTTCTGTCCCGAGGTCTCACTGGGTTACTCAGACATCCATAGCTCCAAGTCTATTAAAGTGACTGTTGTACCAGCTCCCCCCCAGCCTCCTTCCCCAGGTCCCCTTGCAGGGGTGAGCACCCTCTGTGGTGCCCAGCCAGGGCAGACCCTGTCTGGGGGATGTGCATTGTGGGGGAGCGGGGGGCTCACAAGGAGTCCCACGAGCTGAGTTAATGACACCCCCCGCTCACACAGTGGCTGCTGCCGGTGCCATGGGGCTGCCAGGGTGCAGATGTGTCTGGAGGGCAGCAGCCTCACTGCCCAGCCCCCTCACCACAACACGCTTGCTGTGCACCAAAGCACCAGCTGCCTGGGTCTGTGAGGGAAGCTCACCGGCTGAGCTCGCCCCTTCCTCTTGGAAGAGCCCTGCTGTGCCCCCGGAAAGGTGCAGCGGGAGGTGACAGACCCGGAGACAGCCCTCCTGCTCCCTGGGGTCCCTGTGGCCAGGCTGCCCATGGGCTCTCCGGCAGCCGGTGTGCTGCTCTGTGCTGGACACGTGTGGGTGCCTCACGTTAAACATACAGGCTCTGTTTTTAAAAAAACAAAACACTCCTGGAGGCACTTTCCACAGTTCCCCATTAAACTCTCCCCAGGCAGCTCCTGACTGTGCCTCCCAGCCTGTGTTCTGCTGCACAGCTGAATCCAAACCAGTCAGTTTATGGACACGAGCCACCAACTTGCGCCACAAAGTGGGAAAAGTGGCAGATGCTTCTGAGCAATGAATTTAATTGCAATAGAAGGTGCCCTTCAGCCTGTGCCTCTCCCTGAGGGGCTGGGGCAGGAGGGCAGTGGCCCCAAAGCAAGCACCTGGCTCGCTGCGGCACTGCTGCCGGGAGGGCTCCTGCGTGCCTAGAGCTGTCGTGGCGGCAGCACACCGTGCTGGTGTCAGTCAGTACCCGCGGGGCGCTGGCCTCATCCTGGCTGCCGGCGCTCCCTGCCCATTCCAGCCAGGCGATCCCTGCCCCACTCCCTGCCCGCTCCCTGCCCGCTCCAGCCAGGGGACCCACGGCGCCATGAATCCGCCTGAGATGGATTTGATAGTTTACTCTAGTAATACAAGACCAATTTATAAATCTTTCTATCCCATTAGTTTTTATTTGATTTGGATGTTCACATGTCAAAGCAGATGATTTAATTAGTGCTAAGCTGGGCTGCAGGGACGCTACATTTTCCCCCAGTCTGGTGCTCCCTCCCTGGCCTTGCAGCCCAGCTCCCTATGCCAGAAACAGACGGGTGCATGCAGGACCCCATCTTGGAACTACTTGGCCTGACCAAGCCCCCGGCAGGGTGGGCGATACCCTTGTGGGCACAAGCCCGTATCCCTGGGGAGCCCCTTGCTCCTGGGTCCCGCTGGAGGAGCAGCACAGCACCTGGGGCTGCATCCATCACTCCCCACAGCTTCTCGTGGCAGTGGCATCACACAGCCACCACGCTTCTGCGTCCCAGCCCCGGCAGCCTTTGCCCTCACTGGGCACAAGGGTTGCGTGCAGGCAGCACTGATTTCCTGCCCACCTCCAGGATGAAGGCAGAAGGAAAAGGGGACTGTGCTCCCGGTGGGTGCTGGAGGCCAGCACCCTCCTCTGCCTTGGGCACGGTGCTCACAGCGGTGCCGGCGGCACGGGGAGTGCGGGAGCCGGGGTGCGCCGTAACGTGACTGGGGAGGAGAGACGCCACGTAATTGCAGTAATTCTGGAAGGACCTGCTGTAATTTCTTTTGCAAATGGCACCTGGTCTAGGAATGGGGGATGAAAGGCTGAGCACAGGCTCCAGCAGAGACTGTCTGCTGGGTAATGCGTCTGTGCCAGCCACTGGGGCGGGTGGCAGGACATGCTCTCCTTCCCGGCTGCAGACTGAGCCCCGGCGCTTTCCTTACGTCGATAATGACTTTACCGACAATGGGGATGGAGCAGACCCAGCTGCCGTGCAGCGCCAGGGTGCCTGGCAGTCTGGCCATGCCCTTCCCCTCCGTCCTGCCTGGCTCTGCCCTCCTCGGGAGCTGAGCGTCTCTGGTTGCTGCTGTGCTAGCGGGGCTGCCGGTGACCCCCATCCTCTGCGCGGGGGGTCCCCTGGGGCTCGGATGGACCCAGGAGACAGTCATGGCCGGGGCCTTCTGCAGCACTGCAGGAGGGAGCTGTGCCTGCCTTGTCCTGCCTTGTCCTGCTGGGAGGGGACACCACGCCAGCCCCACACTGTGGACAGTGCCGCACCTCACCCAGCTCCTTCCTCACCATCACCTTCTACTTTGCTTGCAGGAGCCTGATGCCGCGAACGCTCGACAGCCAGATCACAGTGGAGAAGACCCCCAGCTACTTCGTCACCAAGGAGGCGCCGCGGCGAATCTTCAATATGTCCCGGGACACGAAGCTGATCGTGGTGGTGAGGAACCCCGTCACCCGGGCCATCTCGGACTACACGCAGACGCTCTCCAAGAAGCCGGACATCCCCACCTTCGAGGGGCTGTCCTTCCGCAATCGCAGCCTGGGGCTGGTGGACACGTCCTGGAATGCCATCCGCATCGGTATGTACGCCGTGCACCTGGAGAGCTGGCTCCAGTACTTCCCCCTCTCCCAAATCCACTTTGTCAGTGGGGAGAAGCTGATCACGGACCCAGCTGGGGAGATGGGCAAAGTCCAGGACTTCCTGGGCATCAAACGGGTTATCACGGACAAGCACTTCTACTTCAACAAGACAAAAGGTTTTCCTTGCCTGAAAAAGTCGGACAGCAGCGGATTGCCTCGCTGCCTGGGCAAGTCCAAAGGCAGGACTCACGTGCAGATAGACCCCGAGGTGATCGATCAGCTTCGGGACTTTTATAGACCTTATAATATCAAATTCTATGAAACAGTCGGGCAGGACTTCAGGTGGGAATAAGCATCTGGGAGCAGAGCCGCGGTGACGTGAGGCTGCCGTCTTCCATGAGGGGTCCCAGGGGGGCTGGAGCCAGGACCTCCCGGCCAGCCCGTCCTGCCCAGAATCCATGAGCAGAGGCAGGCAAGGGGCTTCCCCAGCCCTCAGGAGGCTGGGATGCTCCGGGGCAAGCTGAGATGGGGGAAGACACAGAGTCCTGCCACAGCCACCGAGGGATGAGTGCCCAGCAGACACTGCCCGTCCCGGCAGGTCAGCGGTGCCGTGGCTTACTCCATGGGGTCCCATTCGCTTGTACCGCCACACGGTCTCTGGGGCCTCGGTGATGGCCCCGTCTTGCAGCCCATTTGCAGGCTGCTCCAAGGCACATCCCTCCAAGGCACATCCCTCCTCTGTGTCCCAAAGTAAACTGGCACTCCCGAACACCCCCTGACTGCAGGCAGCGGCCGTGGGGCTGTCCCCACGGGGCCGTGTCCCACTGCGGTGCTGGGGTGGGCAGAGCTCTGGCCTCTCCGCTTTGCCTTTCGTCACTTAAGCGCAGTGTGTAACCATGAGGACAGTGAGATGTATCTGCTTGAAAAAGAAATCTATGAAAAATGTTGTACCAATATTTTGTCCTGTGAATAAAGCACAGAATCCTGCTGTTACGGGTACTTTAGTGGCACTAGTTTCCTTGTTCAGCATGTGATCCCTTTGTGTAAATAAAAGCGGCTACCACCGGTCCATATGCATGGGCTTTTCTTAGGGCAAGGCTGGGCAGCCCCATGCTGCACTGCTGCCCGTGCAGTGCTGCAGGGGGCCGTGCAAAGCCCCACTGCACCTGCGTGTCAGGCGAGGCAGCGGGCATGGGGCTCGGGGCAGGACAGCAGGTCGGCGCGGCACGGTGAGTAGGGGACCTGTGGCACAGCCCTTCACAGGGGTGGCGGCACCTCTCAGGAGTGCCAGAGGACCCCGGGGTTAATGCCACCTCCTGTCAGGCGCTGGGGGCAGACACCGCATTAGACGCAAGCAGCAGTAATTTATGGTTGAACTTAATGGGCCGTTCTGTAGAAGCCCACAATTACACTGAAATGTCAAGTGCTGCACGCTTTGCTAGATGGCTCCCCCGGCCTGTGCACACCTCCCGTTGCATTAGTCATGGTTGTCCTTCGATTTACCTCCCCGGCAGCTGCAGCCGGCCCCTGTGGAGGTGCTGAACCATGTGCAGGCTCTGCAGGCAGCCCCTTCTGCCCTGCCTCAGCTGCACAAAGCAGAGCAGCACTTTCAGCCAGGCACTGGGGACATGCCTCAAGGTGCACATGCCCCGGGCAGCTCCTACATAGTCTCGCCCAGCCATAGCATGACCATGCCTGCTGGGAGCTGGGAGCTGCGGCACCTTCTCCAAGCAGGGCTGGAGCAAAGCCCCCCTGCATCTCCTTGCTGCACCCCAGCTCTGCTCCCTGCGGGCATACCCTCAGCACCGGTCCAGCCTCTGGTCCCCAAACGCGGCCAAGCCCTGCGGCACTGCAGTGTCCAGCAGCGCACA